CAGCATTCTTGAACTCTGCAAGGTGTTTTAAATAAGCTATAAGCTCTTCCACATGCATCAGTTCATCCCACAATACACTTATTACTTATGCTGACAATCTTTGCAAGAGCATCAGGTCAGGAATTCACACACCACCACTTTGACAAAACTGGGACATAATCCCAGCCAAAGTATCTAGTAAAGTTGTATTTTCAAAAATTGAGTTGTTTCTTAGGAAGTCTTTCACATCTCTTCATTTCAAAAAGCTAATAATTGGTAAGACATCCTTGAGTTCTGCAGAGTGGACAAACATTATCAGCTGCCAGTCTTGGCATAGATGTTCCAACGTGTTTGGGGTAGAGAGATGGGGGGGGGGATTTATTTGCAGCTCTTAAAAAATGATAAAAGATACTGATTTTCGATATAAGACGTCTAAACAAATCTCTTTCCCAGCTGTTGGCCAATTAAAACTACATCTGGACATCTTGCATCCTCTGTGATTGGCACAAGAAATGTCATGATTAGCTCCAGGTTGCTGCTTTTTTTAAATTAGGGCTGTGTTGCAGTTCAGATTCAGTTCTTAGCTGTCATGCAATCCTTGGGGAAAAGCAAAGTTGTTTTAAGGAGTTGCAGACAACTCATTAGCTTATGTCCTTGCTTACTGTCAAGTGCCTCTTCGGAATCAAATCTGAGTCATTATCCAAACCTACTATTCATTATGAATGTGTTCCTACATCACATTTCTTCTGCTGAACTTGTGGGACCCATATAGCTGTCTTCTCTTAACAGATAAAATACACTTCATAGTTTACTGCTGCTGAGATTTCATGGGGCATGATGATTTATTTTTAAAGACCATCATATAGTCAGAAGATCAAGCTTCCAGAGGCATATGATGAAATTGTATTTGCAAGAATGAAACCTAAATTCCTGTTGCCATAAAACTGAATGATTTCCACCTTTTAATATGATTATAGTTGTAATTGATTAGGCAGTTGGGCATATTCTGAATGACTTTGCTATAATATTTTAGATTTTGCTATATTTTTTTAGAATCTGCTAAAACATAGACTTCAGATAATGTTGTCAAATGTATAGTTAATCCTTATTTTTATTTTTTTAGAACAAATGCATATATATCTTCTCCATGTCAATCTTCCATTCTTTTAAGGCTACAATTCATGAAAAATGCTGTAGTTATTGAAAGATCCACTTTATCAATATCTTGTGATCCAGGAACATAAAATAACAAGAGTCCCCTTGTAACAAGAATCTTAAATGCATTTCAACTAAAGTCAATGGGACCCAAATTCTGCCTTTAGGAGCAGGGAAATATAAATCAAACAATCCTTGATTTCTTGTAGTCAATATAACTTATTTAAATGTCCAAAGCCACAATTTGGTTTCTTGGCAGTAGAAATGGTGTAAAAAGAAAATGATCATATTGGTAGTTCTCTTGAAAATTGAGGAGCTGGTCCAATTTTTCAAATCCTCAACCCAAACTCTATAAAAAAAACCAGCAGTTGATGGCCTGAAGATATCCTGTTGATTTAGTGCAGGGCTGTCAAACTCGCAATGTCATGTGACATGTCACAATGTATCGTGACTTTTTTCCCATTGCCGGCAATGGGGTGGGCGCGGTTTCACCATGATGCATCCGGCCTGTGGGCCGGTAGTTTGACACCCCTGATTTAGTGGATCTAAACTGGGTTCAATCCAGCAACAAGACACTGTTTAATGTGACATTCAAATGTTGCTGCATCAAGGTCAGTTCAAAAACTGAGTACGTGCAGCTTGTTTAAAGCTGCATGGAATTAAAACTTATGTTTATCTACCAGTTTAAGGTTTATTTAGGTTGGTATACTCAAAGATCTTTTGATGTGCACTGTAAAAGTCAATTAAATTTCATGAGCAGTTTGGATTTTTCCATTAGTCTTTCACACCATTTCTGCAATATATATAGTTGGCTATCAAAAGTATTTTCTTTTACCTGGATGAAATTGGTTCCAGATTAAATATGCAACATTGCAGGAATTACTTTGGCAGTTTATATGTACTTTTCTTTAGATACAGGTTACCATGTGATCTGATTCAAGTTTTATGACTATTTTACTACAAATCGTAAAATGAGTCACTGTGATCATTAAGCAAATCACATGGTAACTTAGTGATCCATAAAGTGCTTAAGTGAATCCATTGTATCCAATGGGCTTCTTTTGCTATTTTCTGCAGGACGAGAAAAATCACAAATCTTGGTCATATGAAAGATGGTTGGCTAATCTCTGCTGTCCTAGAGAATTATTACTCAATGAATGTCAAAGCGAGAAGGGGAGAAATTATGCGTCAAGATCGAATAAGCCCAAATTCTCAGAATGTGACAGTTTGTATCATGCAATTTATGCTATCAAGAGGATAACCTAGCTTGTAATTTTATTGATTTGAAATTTAGTATCAAACTGTTTACTAATGCTATCAAATAACAGGTTGTTTGCTTTTTCAAATGAAATATCACATTTCACCATTCTTGCATTTCTAAAAAGGGGAGAAATTCCCTATTTGTACATTGTTAAACACGATTTATTGTTTTACTAATAAATATACTTGAGCTAGAGTATATTCTCTATACCTTTTGTATTTCAGGGGTTTTGGCTGAACAGTCTATTGCAGGAGTACCTAAGCAGACCAAGTTCATTACCCTTGGAAAGAGGTACGTTGCACAAAATGTTAAACATCAGTTCAAGGGTTTGCAGAAGCGTTTCCTTTTTAATTCATTTTCAAAGGTCCAACAATTTAGCATTTTTATTCTTGTTCTTAGCACAGTAATTTCAATACACACATGGAATATTTGGCATCTCATTTTATTCTGGTAACGACCCTTGGCTTATGTCCATAGCAATGATCCAGCAATCTAGAATGTTCCCAGAGGTGGGTGGGGTAAATAGAATAAAGCTTATAGCACCAATCTACTCATGGAAACTTCCCTTCTGGTCACCAGACTCCCCATTTCTCTTAATTTAAAAAATATTTTTATTACAAAATAAATTGAAAAAAGCATGTTGTAATTCAAAGTGTCAGCCAAAGAACAGCAGCTTTATTTCCAAGAATGCTTCTGTTCCTCCTCCCCACCCCTACTCCACAAGGCCTATAGGCAGGCTTTGAAAAGGTGAAAATGATGAGTGCTTGGATGCCATATTTCGTTTGTAAATATGACTGCTATGCCAAAAGAAAAAAACACAGACTAAATTTAGTAGACAGCCTTTTAGATAGGGCGGCTGGGATCAGTCTAATCTGTTGTTTTCTCATAAGCAAATAAAGTTATTAAATTTATATTTATTAAAGGTATGTGTTATGGTTGCTATGTCCACCACAAGGCAGAGCTGTATAGGTATAGTTCTGTCATGCTGGTCATTTTGGGAGAACCTTCACAAAAGGCTTTCCAAATTCCACATATGTTTGTGTCCCCAAAATTTGGCTACCTCTGATCTTTGTGAATAAGAAATTAGTTATTTTCACTTCAGCAGTTGTCTTAGTCTAGCATAATCTAATAGAACATTATATTTCCTGTATATCATACTGGGCCTTGCAATTCTATGCAGGTTTCTGTGCAAGTAAATTGAGGTGAACTTGGTGGGACTTGCAAGAAGTAAGGATGAGTAAAAGTGGGTGATTGTTTTGCCTTTTGGAGGGTGGTGGTGGAATAAAGACATGACTAATAGCTCTGAATCAGTTAATGGGCTTGGTGCCTTAAAAAAATGACGCAGGTATCTTTTCCAAAATGGTTGAATATATTCAAAGATATGAACAAAGATAAATGCAATAGATGTATAAATATAGGGCACCTGGAAATAGGCTTCATCCCACCTTTCTATCTTTTGCAAGCAGCAGTGTGTTACAGGGCAAATATCTATTTTGGAAGGAGCAGATTTCAGACTGAAAAGGCTGGTACCCCTCCATAAGTGAACTGCACATCCCAACAGTAATGTGGGAAATAAACAACTGCCTTCCACTCATCTGATTATGATTATATCAGCCAGCATAATTAAGTAGGCAAGTAACATGTAAAAGCCAACTGACAAAGAAAATGATTTAATTGGTGTCCCAGAAGAATTTACCAGACCTCTTCCCTTCAATATACAACTATTATAAAAATATATCCACTCTAGGTTTACTATAAAACACAAAGATAGCCCACACAGACAAAAATATTTGTTTAATTTGAAATCATACATCAATCTGCACTGTTTGTAATATAGTGCAAGACTGTAAAACAAGGGTGCCTCAAGTCAGGCAACTGTTCTGAATAAGATCAGTTCGTTTTTTTAAAAAAATTAAGGAAAAAAAAATCAAATCTCAAGAATCAGTTCAAATTCTGTTAGGTACACCATTATGCATCTTTCTCCTCCTCTGAAATGACTAACCATCTTCTCTAGACTCTGCTGTTAATATCACAGAGATAAAAGTTATTTTGTAATTAGAACATAGTCTGGGAAGGTCAAAAATTGCAATGGCTTCTTCAGGATCATACTGCAACAAATTTCAATTGGAAGTGAATCTACTTCTCAATCCATTCAGCATGGTTACTGTTATTACTATATAATGGGAGAAAGTTAGTTCGAGAGAGAAAAAAAGAAAGATCATTATGGATGCTACCTTAACAGTCTCTAATTCAAACAAAACCTCTTATATGAGTAATGGATTACAAGTTCATAACAGCTGTTGATGTTACTTCACATACATAAATCATGAGGTTGCTTCCAAACTAAACTCTTTTAAAAAGATTTCAGAAGCGTGAGAGATTTTAAAGGCTGCTTCCAAATTTGTCTGTTTTCTTAAACAGAAACCATGCTCCAAAAAGCATCATTTGTAGGATGTCATTTGCCTATCATTCAGCTCGGACTAAAAATAAAATAAAAATCCCCACAGTATTAACACGCTAAGAATTATATTTTTAGAATAAAATGTACAATAGCTACTTTAAGTAGCTGGCTGAACAAACACCACACATCACACAAGAAAAAGTCAACTGTCTGAATCAGTGTTTACTTGAGCAAAACCTTGTAAGGGTACACTATACTCAGTCTTATTTTAAAGAAGTTGATTAGATTTTTATACAACGTAGCCCCTGTCAATTTAAAACAGACCCACTGAAGAATGGAATGAAGAGTTGGAAATGCAGCATTTCAGAACCAGACTGTGTGTGTTTTCAACTTCTTTTCTGAGGAAGACCTCTCAGAATCTGTGTCTTCAAACTCTGCTCTGTGCCTTTTCTGTCGTCCGTGGTTTTGTGAGCCATCACTGTCTGCGGGATGCAATTCAGCAACCTCCTCTTTCATGCTCATGCTGTGACTGGAAGAGTCTGTTGCGGATAGGCAGCACTCCTTGTGCAAGGATGTGCATGTCTGCACAAAGCTGCCGCCTTTATCGACATTTAAGTGTAATTGTCTTCCTTGACCCAGAACCTCCTGCTCTCCAAAATTCTGTCCATTATTAAGGTAAGGAGAATGAGAGTGTATATGGCCATTATTGTAGTTTGTACAGGAATTGTCAGTGTTCCTATCCTCATTGTCATCTGTTTGGTTTCTAGATAAATTTCCAGATGCATTACCATTGGCAGGAGTAGAAAACGAATCCTTAGAAACAGCCAGTGAGTTGTGGCTGGATGTTGTTTGACAATTCTGGTTATTTTTCTGTTCCACAAATCCTGCAGGTTGATTGCATGACTCCTCAATGCAATTAACTCTTGCTTTACAAATGGCTTTTCCGTTGAGCTTCTTAGCTTCAAAAGAATGCTCTATAGGTCCACTACTCCCAGAATCTTGGGCTAGGGTTTCCTGGTTTTCCATCGGTCGTTGCTTATCACATTCATGTTCTTGAACATTTATAGAACTTTCTGCTGGGTTACAATCCTTGAAAATGTCTTTGTTGCAACTTTCAACAGCAGCAGAATCTTGACTGCTAAGAGCTTTTCTACTAGTTCCTGGTCTTCCTTCACTTTCTCCACCTCCACATGAAGATTCACCATCTTTATTAGCTGCGTAGGACATGTAAGAATAATGAAGCCAACGAAAAGCTTTATAGATCTTCCTATCTACTGATTCACTCTCCGAGCAAGGAAAAATCTTCTCTTTACGGACTTCGGTGTTTCCAGCACTTCTTTCAGGTGATGAAGCTGGAGAGGCAGAGAGATCATCCACTTTGATTTGGGGATAATCATAAAGGTCTTCACCTATATAAGTACTTGTGTTTCCTGCATTTGCATTAGTCCTTTCTTCCTTTTGTGGCTTTTGTCTTTGTCTACGTCTCTGAGCATTGCGCTGCCTGGTCAAGGCACGTCTCTCATTCAGTTCCTCGTCATCTTCTGTGCTGCTGCTACTGCTGGAGCTGCTTGAATCATTCTCTTCAGGACTAGGCGACCTTGGTCTTGGGAAAAGATCAGCATCCAGCTCAGTCTCACAGGTGTTTTCATCAGAATCAGACTCATTGGAAAGGGCTAGCAGGCGTTTGTCCTGGTATCTCCTAAGTGCAGATAACCGTTGCTGACGAGACACTGCAGTTTCTCTGGGTGATGGAGATTCCGTGGATCTCAAAGTTCCTAAGTTATAGGCAGGTTCATCAGATTCTTCGGTCATATGAGGTGGGGAGTGACGTAGAGAAGTAGAGGACTCAGATTCACTATAGCCAGAGCGTTCACTTACTCCAGCATGAAGCTGCAGGATAGTACTTTCACTGAGGTCACTGTCAGAGTCAGAACTCCACCCCTCAATTTCTCGGCGGACCAAGGAATCAAAGAAGGCCATCATGCGTGGGTCCTCTTGTACTGACTGATTGGCATAATCATGTGACAGGCCACTGCCACTGTTCAATACAAGATTAATGTACTCCTCGTGTGTATAGAGACAACGTGAGTCATCTTCAATTTTACCATCAAGATCCCCCGTACAACCAGGTTGTCGATAAGGACTCCAAATCTATAAAGAAAAAGAAAAAGTCAATTTACATCCTTACCACACATAACATCAAGATATAAAAAAAATTAAATAAGCAACTTGTATATTTATATCATAACGATTTTAGAGAAATTGTATTTTAATTTAATTTTAACTCCATTCTACAGGTGCATTCAGATAAAATATTTTTCCCTATCTGAACTGGAGGATTCACAACTCATAAAAATGCCCTAAACTAGAAAAGAAACATCAGACTGCAGTGCTCTATTTTTATGCAATAAGTGTCTACTGGTGGGACTGGGTGGGGGGTGGGGAAAGAAAGAGTGCAGAAGGAATGGCTAAAAATGCCTAGCTACGTTCTGTGTAAAAATCTAGGCACAAACCAAGATACCGGTTTCCCAGGAAACTAGCATTACTTGAAGAAATATGCCATTGTGCTTTATGAGATAACATATAATACTTCATTTAGCAATTGTAGACATTCCTATATTATAAAATGAAAAATGAAAAATATTATTAGCTGACAAATGTATTGGGCACTTCTTCAGCTCCAAGGAAGAGAAAATTTACTATGGTAACTGTGCAACTATTACTTTCATGGCTATTATAAAATAAAACCTTTATTCTATAACTTTATATCCTTCCTTTCTTACATTTTATTTTGTTACAGTAATCCTAACTTACAAAACCTTCTTTAAAAATCTTAACTCAGGAAGTAGAATTTTGTACAATAAATGTATTACTTAGAATTATTAAGTTACATTTGGTGTAGAACTTAGATTCTGAGATTGTTAATCAGAAATAAAATCTAACATAGCATCTCCATTATGAATGAAATCCTCAAATGACTTTTATATGCTAGAAGCAGTAAAATTGCTGCAAGTATTTATAATTAGAACTAATGTGGTACACATTAGATAATCCCCACTGTAAAGCAGAGATAGATAGCCTATCTCTATAGTTATCTCCATAGAAACAAAGGTCTATGGGTATTTTGATTCTCATTAAAATATACATCAGCAATATTTTTTCTTTCTATGCAATTGACAAATTGCCATTGGCATCAACATTCAGTTCAACACTGCCCTCCTGCTGTCAGCCTTTTACAGATTTAACCAGTTTTTCTTAACAGACGAAATTCCTCAGCAATATTGGTCTCCAAGAAAAGTTCTCTATGGTCTTCTCTGCTGTTTGCGGCACACTCCATTTTGTTTCAAGGCTCTTCTGAAAAGATTGCCTTTCCCTGACAATTTTTGTTTTACAAAAATCCTTCCATCAAGCCAAACCAAATTTACTATTCGAAGTCACACAGGGCAGGAACTTAACTTTGTTTTTTTTTCACATTAGATTGAAACAAACCTACAATAATATGCTGTCTAAAAAGAAACATAAGCACTAGATAGATTTGCTCAGGGAGAAATTATTACAATTGTGAAAAGTCCTGGGGTAAATTAGATTTAGCTATCTCTCCCCCCTCCCCCCCCCATCTCAGGTCTTTAATTTCTTTGCTTTAATATTTCTTACTCCTTTTCTGTGATCTGCATAATACTACAATACTCACTGGAAAAGTAAAAGAAAAGAAGTGGAATATATATGTAACATTAAAAAAAATCCAGAAGGTGGGAGAAACTTCATCTTTGGACTTTAGGTGATGGAGAAGTTATAAAAGAGTCTAACACTTCCCTGTGTTAGACTAGATTGGTATAGAAATTTGAGAGCCACTAGTAGTTGGGTTATTTTGTCTTAAAAATGACAATAAAGTTTTTTATTATTATAGTGTTTCTTTCACACGTTTAATTGGTTTATAAATCAGAAACATAGTTATGTTTCATCAGATATATGCTGGGAACCTAAAGAAATTCCCTTTTCAAAATAATTATCTAACAGATTGAGAACAGCCTCCAAATAGTGATAGGCTGCAACAAAAGCAGTAGGTGATGTTTTTTGTGCACTAGTTTTTAACTTTTTTGTAACATGGACAAAAGGGTGAGGGTCTGGTGAAACCTATTGATTTCTCCTGACAAAAAATGGATTTAAACACATAAAATGTATTATATATAGTTTTATCTAGGAAACCAATTGTGCTCAAACACAAAACAGCAGTAGAGTTCTTCAAGTTTTTGGATTCTATAATCTCCCAGGACTTGAAATGAATACTTAATATTAGAACCATCATTAAAAAGGCAAAACAAAGAATGTTCTTCTTGCGTCCACTCAGAAGTTCATACTGCCCCACGAGCTGTTGATAGTTTTACACAGTTTGTCATTTGTACTTTTATAAGTGTCTGGTTTGGTACAGCAACCGAACAGGACAGGTACAGACTCCAACTGATAGTTAAGACTGCAGAAAGAACTATTGCAACCAGCCTGCCTTCCATGGAAGACCTGCATTTTGTGTGGGTCAGAAGGAGGGCTGAAAAGATATCTACGGCCCCCTCACATCATGGACATAAACTGTTTCAAATCTTCCTCCTGGGACAATGCTACAGGGCATTGCATGCCAAAATAACTAGACACAGGGACAGTTTTTTCCCTCGTGCCATCAATCTGCTGAACTTCTAATTCTCACAGTACTGTCCAATGTCGATGTCTACTTATCCATGTAGTATGGCTATAGTATTATCATTTATCCTTACTATCTTTACTCCCCCCACCTATTGGCATCATTCTGATGGTGATGATTATTCTGTTGCTCTGCATGTACACCGAGAGCTTCTGCACCAGAGACACATTCCTTGTGTGTCTAATCACACTTGGCCAAATAAAGTTTTCTATTCCATTCCATTCCATTCTATTCCCAAATAACAAATAAGTAATATAGTAATCTGCGCTTTTTTTATTAACCAGTTAAATCAAAAACAAGACATTAACCTTTTAAAGGTATAATAATTTAAGCAGTGTGATTATTTGAAACCCACAAACATTTTTGGGGTCTAGAAGCAATAAATTACTTTCTTGCTGGTATATATTATTGAATGAAAAGCTAAATTTTAGTCAGAGGTTAGCAAAAACAAAGTTGCAATTTCCCCCCCATCTACGTTCGTGAATCCCCTGAAACCTATCCATGGAGCCCAGGTTAGAACTCCTGTATTACACTAAGTACATTCCCCTAGTCGAGGGGAACGATATTCCATAGGGTGGATGCCATGGAAGAAAAGGTTCTCTTTCTGGGATCCACCAGATAACACTCTTTTGTAGACAGGTCCCATAACATGTCTCTCCTGCTACGTAAAGCTTCACCAATTTTTAAATAAAAACTAAAAATCCTGACCATGGAGAAAAAACTCACCTTTATAATTTTTTCCACACCAGAAGAGCAGATCATGTAAGTGTGAGGGTTAAATCGGACTTGGTTGACAATTGAACGGTGGCCTTTCAGCACCATAAAGGCCCCATTAACCACTCTGCCAATTCCACCTGGAAAGAAAAAAAAATATGGCAGAACTGGGTGACTTTATATAAATTGGCTTGATTGCATTGCTAATGGAATATGTCCTCTTAATATAAGCAGCCACCACATTCTGCCTCAGTGCCCCCATATTATTATCCTTTGGAAATATTCAGAACCAGCACCACCAGCAGTTTAGTCAAGAGAAATGAGACAGTAGATATGTGTAATTTGTTAAATTACATAAATGCATAATGACAGTATACAACAACCTTTGACCAGGGTCACGTTTACCTACTTGAACAGATCATTTCATTCTATATGTAAAATAAAAGCTGTTATAATCTAAGCTAACATTGTGTTACATGCAAAGATTGTTTTAGATTTGGTATCAAAGAGACAGAGAGGCAGACAAACATAAGTCACTGCCAGACAGGGAAGAGGCCTGCCCTGCTCTTGATGCTGAGAAGGGGGGAATGAGTTAAGTATGCTAGCCCCCCCTTTGTTGTTGAGGACATGGTTTTAGAAAAAGATACTGTTGAAATCAAAAAAATAAGCAGGAGGTGCAAATAATGAGTGAATGAAGGTTTGATAATAAGAAACAGGGGTACTCCTTGACTGGGGACTTATTGCTTCCTGACAGGCCTTTCTATAGGAGATGACCAGGCTGAGCCTGAGGGAGGGGTCAAACATGTCATCAGTCATGAGACCCTGCATGCCCACAAGAGATCTAAGTCCAGCTCACCTGGAATTCCTTTCTATTCTTAACTCCCACTAATTTCTCTTGACCGTTAGTAGTTCAGATTCTTGTAGAGAGCTTAAGCTTGCAGTAAATCTTTATACTCAATTGAACTGCCTGAATCTCCTGATTTCCCCGGCTCTTGACACTCTCTGGTTTTTATATTGTACATTGCTTAATCTTACATGTTTTAATTAATTAGTAGGTTTTATAGAATCTAATGTATCTATTCTTTTCATTGTGAAGTAGTTACCTGTCTGGTATTCCACTATTCCCTTAAAAGTTAGTGCTCCCCAGGTTTTAATGAGACTACTTTGTACTTTTGTATATTCTATTTTTTTTAAAAAAATTATCCTGCCTTTATTATTTTTCAAGTGATGAACGTACATAATATTCCCTCCTACTATTCAATTGTCATTCCTGTATTATAGTTATTATTGTTAGTGATTGTGCCAATCCTGTTTTTTGTCTTCCATGTGTAACAGGTGAGTATCAGCAGTGGAGAGCTTCTATTATGGAATAAAAAGTAAGTGGAGAGTCTTTATGGATACATTTTCCATTAGAGAAGCTCAGCCTCCATGTATATGTCATTTTTAGTCTAAAAAACAAGACTTTTGTTTCTAATACATTTGTGTGATTTCTTGACCTAAATCTGTGCATAGATACATTCTATAATTATGTATATTGCCTTTACAGTTGAAAGACAGGATTTTTTTTAGTAAAGAACATGATGCAAAATTCAGCTAAGAACAAACAACTCATTTTCAACTTATTACAGGTAGTCCTCGACTTACGACCACAATTGAGCCCAAAATTTCTGTTGTTAAGTGGGACATTTGTTAAGTGAGTTTTGTCCCATTTTATGACCTTTTTTGCCTCAGTTGTTAAGTGAATCACTGCAGTTGATTAGTAACTCGGTTGTTAAATGAATATGGCTTCCCCATTGACTTTGCTTGTCAGAAGGTCATAAAAGTTGATGACATGGCCGTGGGACACAAAAGTGGTCATAAATATGAACCAGTTTCCAAGCCTCTGAATCTTGATCACATGATCATGGGAATGCTGCAAAGGCTGTAACTGTGAAAAATGGTCATAAGTCACTTTTTCCAATTCTGTTGTAACTTTGAATGATCACTAAATGAACTGTTGTAAGTCAAGGACTAGCCGTATTTACAGAAAGGATGAATGTCTTCCTAGTTTACAGCATGGTTTTAACACTATCTAGTTAAGCAATGAAAAAAGTTCTGAACATCAGAATACTGCATTTTAATACTATGCATTAAAAGCAAACAGCAGTCTAACAATTTAGGACCCTGAGAGCCATCATAATAAATTGTTTGAAGCACGTAGCAGTCCCTTTGAAACCATGTGAAAACTGCCCTTTAATCTTTGCTGTTTCTGCCAAAATGAATGGGGCTAAGGGAACAGAAGAAAAATACTTCAGAAAGAAATTAAAATAAGTTTCAGAATGTTGATCAGTTTAATAATGAGGCCACAATAGGGCATAGCATATTTCTGTCAGTAGTTCAAATTAAGAGGCTGAAACTGAGAAGACTTTTGAATACAGTTTGAAACTTAAATTTACAAAGCAGACTACAAAACATCTGGGATTATTTATAAATATGGAACATCAGCAAGCAAAAGGTATGGAAACAATGGCACAAAAGAAAATCCAAAGAGATACAAATGCAGCAAGTAGGTACTAAAATAGCAATACATCCTGCATTACCCAGAACAATGCTCTGTATGGAAATATCCTCTGCAGTTCTGAAGAATTGTATTAATCTTCTTTCAACAAAAGAAGAATGGAAAACAAAAGCCCTGAATGATTGCAGCAATGGTCTGCATCAGTATAGGTCACCTGATCAAAATCTTCAATAGTATGAGAGATATTGTATATCCTTCTAAATTTATATTTATGCAAATAGTTAGCAAAAGAAAATGTCAGTAGAAGTTCTTGACCATTAAAAAATTGCTAATTTCAAGGGTTTTTTTAAAAAAAAGTTGCTGCCACAAATCCAGATCATTTGTGGTTAAGCATGACATAATATTATTTGATCAGTCTGCTCAAAGGAAAACATAAAAGCTTCAATGCCCCAGGGGAATGTTGGATTTTTATCTCAAAACTATCCTGGATATTATTAGTCATGTTGCTTCCTCAGAGTACAAAAAGAATATCAAATGGGACAACCCATTTGGCTTAACTGATTAAGAACTTGTTAGAACGAAAACAAGTCCAGACAAACTGCAGATTGTAGATGTGCTATTTTGACTACGGAAGTGAAAATGTATTTACTAAGGTTTACCAAGGAAAGTAAAATACCCTATATCAGGGCTTTTCAACCAGTGGTACGCGTACCACCTGTGGTACATTAGCATGTGGCAGGTGGTATGCAGCCCTGCCCAGCCAAGTGTAGTGGGGGAGGGAACGAGCCAGCGCAGCTCAGGACTTACTGTGAGAGAGTCCTCCGGAGCTGCAGAGTGGCTAGGGTGAGGCAAAGGCCCCAGGCTCACCCGGATGAGAAAGGAGGAGGAAGGGGGCAGAGACAGGAGAGGCTATAAAAGGAGGCAGTTTGGGCGGGAGAGGGAGAGAGAAAAAAAGAGGCAGCCTTCAGAGGAGGCGGAGTCAGCTCTAGCTGCACCAAAGGGAAAGAAGGAGGAGGGTGGGGGGAGAGGAGAGGAGATCAAGCAGGCCGGCCATGAGCCGATCTACAACTTCTGTGGCAGCCATCTGTGCTTGTAGCAACAGACAGGCAAGAAACGCAGCGGGGGAGGGGTCGCCCTCCACGAGGAATGAAGAAAGGCAGCATCGGCTGGAGGTGAGGGAGGGAGGGAGATGGAGAGTGGAAGGATTCTTATGTGCTTTTGTGACTTTGAAGTTCTGGGATTTGTGCAACGTGGACTTTGTGTTCTTAAGGAGTGTTTGGCAATTTCTATTTGGCTGATGTCTGATGTCTCGTGTTAGCTTCTATTGCTCTGCTATTGTTAGCTGTAAGTTTTGCTGCAAGGGATTTTGAAGTATTTTTCTCCTGAATGGATTTTACCTGTAGCATTCCTTTACTTATGAATGGAGCCATTTGGGGAGGTTGCCAGTACTTACTACATTTTTTTTCCTTCCTTAAGTGCTGGCTGCCAGCTCCTTAACTTTCCTTTCTAGCCAGTAGCTAATTCCTAAAGGGGAATGCGCCTTTTTAAGCTAGTTCCCTCAGCGGCTTGTTTTTTCTGTCTCTGGAGGCTTTTCCTTGTTTGATGAATATATGGAAGAGGGAAAATATGGTGGGGGGGGTTTCAAATTCTTCCTTCAGAAGGAGATGGGAATGAGAAAGAGGGAAGCAGGGAAGGAGGGAGGGAGGGAAGGAAGTCCCGCCTTAGCACTTCACCACCAGCAGCCCTGCCATTGATTTTGCTTGTCAAAAGGTTGCAAAAGGGGATCACATGACCCTGGGACAGTGACCATCATAAATATGAATCAGTTGCCAAGCATCCAAATATAAATCACATGATCCTGGGCATGCTGCAATGGTCATGAGTGTGAAAAATGGTCATAAGTCATTTCAGTGTAATTGGAACTTTGAACAGGTTTTTTTTTTTTTTTTGGTCATCAAGTTTTTGACACCTTGATAGGTGGTACTCAAATATTGCCATATCCTAAGTACAATTGGTGAAAAGGTTGAAAAATCCTGCCCTATATGACTTTTAAAGGAACTCCTTCCCTGTTATTGCATTTTAGATTAATAAATTATTCCCACCTACGTGGATAATTTTCTTATCAATTCTTCATGTTCTGCATTAATTCCAAAATACAGCATTCCTTACATTTCTTGTTGGGAATTAAGTTCAGGAGATTCCATATACTCACCAGCTTCAGGATCTGGAGGAATTCTCCACATGTATAAATTGAAGTCATCAGATCCCGAGAGGATGTACTATTAGAAACCAAAATATTATAAGTTACAAGAAAAGGACCATTAAACTACATGCAAAAGAATAATATAATTTAATTGCATAACATGGCTAATGCATGTTCTGTGCTTTGGTCAATTAATATTATTAGGATTATGACAGATTAAATGCTGAAAGTATGAAGACTAGTTACCTACAAAAAGATTACAATTCTACATATAAACATTGATTTAGAAGTGCCAGTGAAATAATGAGAACGCCTCCCTAAATATATTTATTCTATTTTGGGTATTCTTTACCATACTTCGACTTGTACAAGAACTTTTCATATGCTACAGGTTACATTTATATAATTCTATTACCTCATTTATAGTCCAGGAAGATCTATAGCTCAGTGACAGAATAAATATTTTGTCTTAAGAAGATACCTTGCTTGAGGGCAAGGTTAAGAACAGGGCCTATAACAGTCATGGCGAACCTTTTAGAGACCAAGTGCCCAAAAACTGGCCCTGCCCCTGCCCCACCCCCTGCCCTGCCCCCATCCCCCGCCCACAGGACCACTCACCGCCTCCAGGGCCCGCCGCAGATCGCCCAGGCAGCCCAGCAGCGCTATGGCGGCCACACCCTCTGCCCGCACCCTGCAGCATTAGCTGCATGATGGGGCATGAGGGCAGAGTCTTGTCTACGCTGCCTGGCTGCCATGTCCTTTGCTGTGCTGCTCCGTGTGGGCCACGCTTGGGGGCGACTCTCCTTCAGGGGGGCTGCTGGAGAGGAGGGGGTCGCGGGGGAGGCAAGGCTGGGACAACGGCATGTGTGCCCACAGAGAGGGCTCCGAGTGCCGCCTCTGGCACCCGTGCCATAGGTTCGCCACCACTGGCCTATAATTTTCAACTACAGTTAGATTGATTACTGTTAGATGGTCTAATGATCTGACAGGCCATGAAGTTTCTGAAAAACAACTTCCTATTGTTTCTTGTATTACATTGAAATTACATAATGATATCTATAATTTCCCAATTGCTGCAATTTTTTTTACCAAAATAGGGTTATCACAATGTATTTTACAACCCATTATGACTATATTATAAAGTGTAAGAGAAATCATATACAGCAAGACTACCCGATTCTGTAATAGTTTTGTTCCCTATGCCATCCGTCTGGTAAACTCGCAAGATTTGTTTTTCTTGCCATGCACATGTATACATAACCCGATCTAGAATGCTGTTTCTCTGTGTCATATAATATATGTGGGTATATGCATAATTCTGTATTTATTTATGTCATATTTATGTAGTGTATATTGGAGATGGTGACCCTTTGAGAACTGAATGCAACGAAATTTCATTTTAATTTATGCTGATTAGTGTACATTCAAAGTGACAATAAAGTTATTATTCTATTCTATTTCAGAATTTCATGCTGTGTTACATAATAGCCAGAAGCACATTTCTCATGGGCTATCAGTATTATAGTCAATAATGCTGTAATGTGCCTAGTGGTGGACTTGACATATCCTTCATGTTTTCATCCATATTGGTAAAATTACTATTGGCCCAAGCCAATAAAACAACAACAAAAATATGATTGTCTCTACAGTGGTGAAGCCTTACTTAGAATATAAGCAATTCTAAGTAAGCAATTCTTTTGATGGCATGTCTGCTCAGCAACACTGGAGACTGACTTCTTCTGTTTTCAACATTTTGAAATATTCTAGTGTTTACAAGCTATAACTGGCGCAAACAAATTTTACATATTTTTGAATAACTTACAAATCTTACAAAATATAAAAATAGTACTAGTGTCGTAAAACCAATGCAGTCTGTTGTTTAAAAAAATTGGGATGTCTTTAATTTTTATGCAGAGCTTTCCCCCAAATTCTCTCATTCAGTACATTCTCTGAATAAAAAGTTATCAGGTCCTTGATACCCATAATTTCTTTAAACTAAATTACTGGTCTACTTAAAAAAAGAAAAGAAATGCACAATTGCACTTACAGATGAAAAATTTGCAAACATTGCAGAACTATGAAGCTGCTAGCATACTAGATTATTTATTGCTTCAACAGAAGATTAGATAGTATTAAACAGTAGTTTAATATAGAGTTATAGTACTTTATTCCATATGCTATTCCTCTCTGGAAAAAATAGTTTTATGGGGTCTGTAACAGTTTTAAATTTCGGTTCAGACAGAGGTGAAAATAATCTAAATAATTTGTATGACTAAGAAGAGAAACTTCATCCTGAAATCTAAAAGAACATTCTCCTTATAAAAATCTTCATAATCTTTTTGATACATTTACCATATAACCTATTTGTCGGGATTTCATTGAAACCTCTTTACGATGGTTCTATTTTTTTTTTGTAATAATGTCCAGAATTTGGTAGCAGAGAGTGAACTATAGCTAGACCAGAGTTTCTCAGCTTCGGTAATTTTAAAACATGTGGACTTCAGCTCCCAGAATTCCCCAGCCAGCATGCCAGCTAGGGAATTTTGAGAGTTGAAGTCCACTTATCTGTAAGTTGCTAATGTTGAGAAACTCTGACTTAGAGTGACAAGGTACACTGAGGACACCTATCATGAAGACTCTTTCTCAAAGTTTTACAAACAGAAATTAATGTCTCCCAAGGGTATTCAAATCCAGGCAAATTCTCAAGGGAGAGATAGCACTTGGAATTGTGCCTGAAGAAAAATGAGTAGGAAGAGAAGCTGATAAAACAAACAGATCACATGCTATCTACAACCAATAGTCACTCTTCCTGTTGTACCTTTTTGGAACAACCAAAGTTCAAAAGTATACCCATTTTAGCAATGTGAGATAAGTAACCGTTTTTCTGCTACCCTTAGCATATGTGTAAAGTTGTGAATTCAAGCACTGGACCGATTAAAAATATCCCAAAGTTGTTTCTGAGCAAAATTCTTAAGCAATCGTTCTTCATAAATGATTAGCTGGGGAAAAAAAAACAGGCTGTGGGTGGAGGGAAGAATTGGCTTGGCTTCTAGACGACCAGCTGCTGATTCAGAAGTTTGCCTTAGATGGAAGAAATTCCCAGGCGTGGTTAATAACTGTGGCATGAAACATCAATCCCAGAACAATAAACATGTCTCAAGTGTTTAGAATTAGCCATCCTACGGCAGTTGCATGGGATACCTTACGGCTCCCTCCCACCTCTGTCCCCAAAGTAATTTCATACTAGCATCTTATGCAAGCTAGAATATGGGGAGAAGTAGTTAAGAGTAGTATGACCTTATAACAGTGTTTTTCTACATTTTATCTACTTAAGGAAAAATTCAGCCTCCTGTCATTTTTCCAGTTCCTTCATTTTTATGGAATGTAGAATAGAACTCACCCCAAGCAACAACAAAAAATAATCAATTTTTCTGTGGCCACGATTTTTTTCTGTGAAAGTTAGCCCAGAATGGAAGATTTTCTGCAAGATTCCAAGGTAACTAAAGGCTGCCATACTAAAGTCAAGATTATTAACAGAATTCTTGAGAAGAAAGGCAAAAAGTAAAAATGTTGAAATATATTTAATTATAAAAGTTAGTTAAACATTCTATGGACAACTACCTTTCTTCTATCCCCCCCCCCAAATTTCTATTCATGTTAGCTCATTCTTAATGAAAGATCCCACTGTTTTGCAATCACTTTTAAAATAAAGTTTATGGGGATGGTTGGTGGAGAGAGAGCGAGAGCGAGAGAGCGAGAGAGCGAGAGAGAGAGAGAGAGAGAGAGAGAGAGAGAGAGTGTCCCAAATGCCTTAATGCCATCCTCTCCTCCAAAACTGAAAAACTGATATATGTATAAACTGCACTGCACATCATGCTAAACCAGAATTATAGCAATTTGTAATTTGCTATGAGCTTTTGCATTTAGTCTATATTTAGCCATCTTCAGTCTTCCTAGCAATACCAGCAGCTAAACTAAAAATCAAAAGTTTGCTGTGACATTAATTAAATCTGCATCCAAAACAGGAACCATTTTTAGCATCCTGTTTCATGATGCCAGCTTACAAGAAAAGAAACAGTTCAGATCCTGTGACCTTGTCAGCTGGACAGCAAAGGATAGATTAAACAAGGCAACAAATGAACACATGGCACCTTTAAAATATGGGACTTTTGCTTGAAGAATGTGTGTATCAGAGCTACAGTACATCCAAGACAGACAGCTAAGCTAAATGAAAGCTAAAAGCAAAGTAAAATAGTGGCTTAAGTCAAGTTATCTATTCTGTTCCGACCTGTGTTTAGATTTCCTAGTGTACAGTAGTTTTATGACCAATGAAGTTTTTTAGTAGTTTTTTAACCACTGAAGTACAGGCTGCCATCTCTATTATTAAGTATCCTTAAATCTTTGCAATTTCTACCTCAACCAAATCAATAATGAGCGAAGTATCCTCAATATGATCATTTGAATGGACTTTCAATAACCTTGCAACAGCCAGTTTTCCCTTTAATCAGCGTCTCAGTATATTTAGTGATATATTTAAATGATCCTTCCTCTATAAAGAATCTGGACTAACAATATTCATACTTAACAATTTCTAAATAAAAAAAAAATTTTTTATTCATTATTCAGGATCCTGGGAATCCTTTGAAAAAGTTGGAATATTTCAAATAGTTATGATCTTGATTATTGTATAGGTTTAGGTATGTAATAATATGTATTGACAAGTAACATCCGTAATGTAAAAAGGTAATTTATTTTATAATTAACATCTAATGATTAGATAGAAAGGTTATAGATGATTATCGGGATTGCTGCCCTCTACTGTCAACACAGAGAAATTTCAGCATTTTTCAATAAAATACTAACAGCAGGAAATGGGGGGAACCACATATACATACACAAATCCTGACTAAATCTTAATTAGGCACAGCATAAGTTTTTGCAATTATTTTTAAGTATCAAAGTGATAAGACACGTTCTTTTAGACACAACTATTTCTAGGACCCCTGTGGAGAATGAATGTAGAAACAGCTAAATGGCTTTTCAGCATGTAGCACACATCAGAAATGCAGGAATTTCTACTGGGAATGCTACCAATGACTGCTGCATTCCTGAAGTTCTCCTGTACCAGAATAAAGTCAACAAAGGGGATTGGGTGGTGATGTAATGTCTGAGATATGCCCCAAGTCTGATAAAGCAAAAGAAAACAAAAATACCTAGTCATATACAGCAGATATTAACCCTTGCTTGAAAAAGTCACCCACCAGATTTTGTGACCAGGGACTTACAGACAGATAGGGTGTGGCACTCCCGAATATCACTATTTTTTGCAGCATAATTCAAGTCAAACTGAAACTTACTCTCCATATTATTATTATGTTTCCTACCTTTATTATTTTCAGAAATAACTCATGGTGGCGAACATATCCAACACACCTTCCTCTTCCTAATTTTCCCACAACACCCACCCTGTGTCAGATTTTGTGTCTACATCCCACAAATGCCTATAATTTGACCCTTCTATCTTTCACTATATATTTTTAGAGGTACCAATTTTATCATCCTTTAAAAATATTTTATAATATATATTATGTTACTAATTTAAAATAATATATATACAGTATATGATTCAATGGCTACCCCACAGAATTTGTGAGACGTTACAGCAGACCATGTCAACCCCACAGGGCCCAACTCTCCGGAGCAAAGATGACACCAGCCACACGGATAGCTTTACCTTACATCTGTGGTGTTTCCGAAGCCACGGCTCGGCTGCTGGCCCCTCACAATCTGAGCATTGCCCATAAACCAGAGCAGGCCCTAAGAACCCAGATTATGCGTCCCAAAGAGCCGCTCCCCAACGGTGAACAGTCTTCCATAGTCTATAGAATTAATTGCAGGAACTGCCCCCGCAATTAAGTTGGGGAAACAGCTAAAAGGCTCAGGACTAGGGTCCACAAACATGAACTGGCAATCAAAAGGCAGGAGCAGCGCTCGCAAGTGTGGGCTCACATGGCCAATTTGAACCATGCATTCAATTTGGAAAACGCACAGACCATATCTCGTGAGACCACTAAGAGTGGCCGCCTTCTTAAAGAAGCCTGGCTTTCGGATGAAAATTCCATCAACCAGCACATAGACCTCCTACCAGCATACCAGACTCTCAGAAGATGGGAGAAACAACGTGATAATCCACGGAGTAGATGGCCATCCCATATGGTGCAAAAGCAAGACCATGGCTCTACAAATGGGGAAGCTGCGATCCCTAGGGAGGACAGCGAACTGGCAAAAGAGGAGGGGGGCCAGGTGACACAACGAGATAGCAACTGGCAGGACTGGAATGATAGGGCTGCAGGTGGGGCGGCAAGAGCTGCTATGGGGAGGAGACGACGAACGGCTTGGAAGGAGAGACAAAAAAAAAAAAAGGAGGGGAGAGTATGAAGCAGGAACATCTGAATAGCTGTTCTTTGCAGGATCAGGGAGAGGGAGCTACAATCATCAGATCCACCAACAGGCTGCCGGATGAGAATCAATTTAACACATTGCAGAGTAACATAGCTAATAGGCCGATGACATGCTCAAGGAGCCGGGCGCAGAGACAGGCAGCTGTATATAGGCAAGCTCCCTAATCACCTAGCATTCTAACTCTGATGACGTCAGTAGTTTGGCTGATGAAAGTTCAGTAACTTTTTTACTCACAGGCTTGTTTATATTAAACGGTCCTGTTTATTTTTATCCTGGTGTTCATTTTTCATATATATATATATGCTTTCTGAGGTTTTCACGGGTATTTGTATGTAGGTCTTTGGTTATTCGTGTTTTCTCCCGCGTAAAATTGGAAGTGTCTTGGTGACGTTTCGACGAAGTCCCATTCGTCATCTTCAGGCTGGTGTTTTCAGCTTCGTGCTTCTAGGAGTAATGTGTGATCGCAGCTGTTTCTTCCTTTTAACTGCCAGTGGGGTTTGAACTGATTGGGTGGGATCTTGGCTGTGTTCTGATTGGGTGGAGGTGTGTTCTGATTGGTTAAGGAGCTTGGCTGTGCTCTGATTGGATGGGGAGTTGGCTGTGCTCTGATTGGCTGGGAGAGCGTTCTGTTTGGGTGGGGGCTTTGTTGTGCTCAGGTTAGTCTGAGTTGCAGGGGGATTTGAGATGGTGAGCTTCGTTGCTGTTGTTTGGCTTCGTGTTTGTGGTCGTGCCACATTTTTATGGTGGGTGTCAGTTTGCTTCATGTATGGATTGGAGGGGTTTAAAGTGGCTAATGATGCAGCTGTGGACTGACTTCTAGTTTGTGGTCATGCCTCATCATCTGTGTGGGTTTGCGTTTGCTTTTTGCGTGGATGTGTGATGGTGACATCCTGTGTGGTTTTCGTGAGTGTGGGTCTGGTGTCATTCTTTGTGTTAGGGACTCGTTTGCCAATAAGGGCGGGTTTCCAAATGGCTGGTGGGCGGGAGGTATCATCTCGTTTATTCATGCTGTGTGGGCATTTTTCTATCTCGATGGCTTCTCTGATTATTCTGTTGTTAAAGTGTTCAGTTTTGGCAATAGTTCTGGTCTTTTTAAAGTCAATTTTATGTCCTGTGGCTTTAAGGTGTTGGACCAGGGAAGAAGTTGGTTCCTCTTTTCTGACTGAATTCTTGTGTTCTTCAATGCGTGCATTTATTCTTCTGTTGGTTTGTCCGATGTATGTGGTGGGGCAGGCGGTGCATGGGATTTCATATACTCCTTGATTTTCTAACTCAATTTTGTCTTTGGGGTTTCTTAGGATGGTGGGTATTTTTCGGTTTGTGCAGAATGCTGTCTTGATGTTGTGTTTGGGGTGTAGGCTGTTGAGGTGTGTGAGGAAGTTGTCCAATCTGGCCACATGGGAAAGAAAAACTGGACAACTTCCTCACACACCTCAACAGCCTACACCCCAAAATACAGTTCACCATGTAAACAGAAGCTAATAACCAACTTCCCTTCCTGGATGTCCTAGTCTACAAGAAATCCAATGGCTCCCATCAACCAACTTATGCTTGCTACAATATGCAAGGTGAGAGCAGCAGCCAGCACTATCAGAATTTATTTCCTTCTCCTCCTGTTTCCCATCCATGTTATATAGTTCAGTTCATCTCCCAGTAGTAAAGAGGCATCATTTTTTAATCCTGGGCCAAAATGGTTGAGTGTTATAACCTGAGATTAAGTCACAATTCAAATATAGGTCATGGAATATTTGATAAGCAATATCACAAATAAGGGGATATTGCTTATCAATTAATAAGGGTGGTGCGATGGCTCAGTGATTAAGATGCTGGGCTTGTCGGTTGGAAAGCCACAGTCCAGGTTCAAGACCCAAGCATCATGTGATGGGGTGAGCAGCTACCTCGCCCTACCTCCCGCCAACCTAGGAGATTAAAAAGAAGCATGCAAATGTGGATAGATAGGTACACTTCAGTGGAAAGGTAACAGTGCTCCATGATGTCATGCTGGCCACATGATCACAGGAGCATCTTCGGATAGCGCTGGCTCAATGGCCCTTGAAATGGAGATGAGCCTAGAGTCAGCAATGACTAGTGGAGTAAAATCTGCAGGGACTCCTTTTTACTTATTCCAAATAAATGAATATAATATCTTATTGTATTTCTAGACATCTCAGGTAAAATAACTCACTTTCATATTAATTTATATATTAATTACACATACATGCACAAACATAGAGCCCTATATAGAGCTATATATATTACCTATGTATGTGTATTTCTTACAGCACTCCTGTACCTCTTTTCACTTCCCTACCCACTACGGATAGAAAAAACAGGAGAAACACTGCATCTGCAGCAGCTTTAAAGCAGAGACTCAACAAATCACAGTTATAAATAGTAACTAAGATATTCATCATTAATTGCTATTTAACTTATGTGGAGGACTAACCACAATATGATTTAGCATGTTGTGAGAACTATGTCACTAAAAATTATTTATATTGATCTAGATTTGTTGCTTTACACACAAGGAAATCTTACAGTGTTCTGCACTATATTCTCAAGCAGTCTTAAAATATCTTAAAATGCCTCTCTGTATAACTCATGGATTTTAGGAACTAATGCTCCTTACCTGATCACGATCTCCTGCAAAACAGCAGCTTTTCATGGTACAAGAGTTAAAATAACCCTGGTTGTCAAACTGGAAGACAGGCAGCCGGGAATGGATGTCATAAAGGACTGGTGGCAACCGACGCCTGAGAGCAAGCAGCTGCGTTCCATTGCTGTTAAATCTCACACTCATGGCACTCTGAAGTGACAGATTCCCACCATATCGGAGCAAGGAACTAGGAAACAGGAGATAAAAATGAATGAAAATGAGCTGCCACAAGTCAACTGTCGCCAAGGTGGTCTCTGTTATCATTAGCATTAGTGTTCAAGGATGGCAGAGTGTCTGAATGTGCTATTTTGTAACATTATAATAATTTGGATACTGTAGCCAGATATCCCTCAGATATCCTATCCAATAAGATATTTGAATTAGAATTACTTTAGCAAAAACATTTGGAACACATTTCAAGTGAGTGGTATATCTTTTACAACCTTATTTCAGGTAAGTCTAACGGCATAGAAGTCAAAGGGAAGAAAGTGATTTTAACCAATTTATTTTACTGACTGTTAAGCTGGGGTTGGGGATTCTGGCTACAGTGCATAATCCCCTGAAAATAAGCACCGGTTTAACTTGGGTTTCTTTCCAGTAAAAAACAGATAATGTTTGGATCTAAGAGATCACTTGCATACATGTTTCTTCAAAGATAATCAGTGTTGAATAAGGCTCTCTCCCAAAGATGTCAATTTAAGTTTTTTGCCTTAAATGTAATAACATTTTAAAATCTTAAAGTCTTAAAATGTAAGATTTTAGACAGAAAAAGTAAATCTTTAGGAATAAGATAATTTGTTTGCTAAGTTTATGTGCTGCCTTTATTTGGTGCATATCGTATTTATCACATTCTGTTTAACTGAAAAAAAAAATCTAGTTTTGGGCCAAAGGCTGCATGAATATAGTATATGAAATCTTCTAAGATGTTTATGTCATAAAGTTCTTCATATTAAAATGCACGGTGGCTGAGGGTCAGAGCAGAATAAAAAAAAGCTCAAATCCAATATCTATGTTAGCATTACGCTGTTCTCAATAAAAATATGAATCAACATTAGTTGATTGTTTATTTCACTGGTTGCTTCATGATTTTTTTTCCTCCCCTGCATAATCTATTGAAATCTTTCAACTATACTACTGATCTGCTTCATGTATTAAACTTGTCTCTGGGCAGGAAATAATTTCTTTGTAGAAACGGGAAACACACACAAACACCTTTATAGTGTGACCTGCTACACAGGTATAAAGAAGATACACTAGGGTTATTGCTATACAAAAACTGGAGGAAGACACGGTTGTATTGCTATTATTACATAAAGCAATCTATTATACAAATTTAAGCCTCTTAAAGCCTTTTGGAAAGCAGAAAGGATAGGCCTTAAAAAGTCATTGGGCATTCAGGCAGTAAATTAAAAAAACTGAAACAATGTAACTTTAAATGCAAGAATAGCTTTGTTATGTCAAAATAGTTTTTACCAATAGCTTGTGGAAACAAATGACAATTCTTCTGTTCAAGAATCAATGGCTTCATTTCCAAGAAAAAAGATAAAAAGTTATCTTATTTTGGCAAGTGGCATCATCTGGATTGCTTATTGGAAGCTCACAAAAACAAAACACTACTAACAAAGGGCAAAGAGATTGGGACATGAAATATCCTTAGTTGCTTTCATTAGGTTATTCAGTCTGGCTATCTTGGTAAGTCACAGTCATAGCTAAATTAGCTGCATGCTAGCCAATGGATATAGGAAATCATAACCTTTGGGTGGAAAGAAGGACAAAGAATATCTAGTGCTAAAGACTATGAACATAGAAGTCATTATATATAATGAAAAAACCTGCCATCATTACAAATTGTGATATTTTTATTACTGCAACAAGAATGTATATAGCAATATAACTAATGAGCAAAAAAGTAATTCTTGGCCAAGCTGAGAATATCCAAAAGTTATAGTATCGTATCCTATCGTGTGGCAACATCTCCATTAAGTCCAACTAAACCATTTCTCCAAACACCTAGTTTTAATGTAAAATAAAAGGGAGAAAAGGGAGACGGATATTGCAAGGTAATTTGATAAACAGTGTTAAGAACAGAGACAACTTTATGGAAAGTTACAGTGCAATGGTATGTTATTATATATAGTGTGATGATTGTATTATTGTATGTGATTCAGTGACTACATAGGTCTTCTGCATGAATAAGCATATATATTCTATAATATTTATTTTCCATTCCTAATGAAATGAATTAAAGCCAGTGGTGGGATTCAGCCGGTTTGCATCACTTCAGCAGAACCGGTAGCTAATTTTTTTGTTGCCCAGGCCCAGAATGGACTTCCGGAAGCGGCATCCACACAGAGAACTGGTTGTTCACATATTTGAATCCCACCACTGATTAAAGCTATATCATCTGTAAACACATGTTCCTCAATGATTAGTAATTATAAAAAAAGGGATCTTTAGGGGATGATTTCCTGGAGTCTTTCAAAAAGTCACATGATGGCTGGAATCCAATCTTATCTCAAACCATTGCCAAGATAGCTGAAACACAAAAAGTCATAAGGTGATGTAAACACTCTAGCAATTCTGAAGGGTAACAGCCAGTATCTTCTAGCAAACAAGACTCACAGTACTCTTTAAAGACTACCTTATCATATAACCACAGGATATTCAGACAACTTTTTTTTTGGTCAATGGCTGAAAAATCCCATAATTGCTTTGTCTATCTTCTGAAAGAAATCATGCAGAAGCTGGGATATGGTCAACTATGATAATAGTTTCCTATATTCTCAGAAAACAGCATCATGTCAAATTTGTATTTCAAAGGTAGAGAGGCCACAACCCAAATGTGTTTATGTGTGTCAAGATGTTAAGGAATAAATTGAATATCTTAATGAAAGTATCCTTTTTCTCTCTTAACTTCCCATTCTCCCCAGTCCTAACAGTAAGTGCTCAATGGGTAAGGAATTGAACCACTGCAGAACAGTGCCTTGAATCTCCACTCCTTGCAGGTATCCAGAAGAAATTTGAATAGGAGGTGCATACCACTCCCAGTCAGATTTCACATGGGAGAGTGATGATTTATAAAAAAAATCCATGGCCAGTTCTGAACCTTCACTGGAAAGGGTCTGGATAATCTATTTCTAGCACACTTCACAGTTCTACCCATAGTCTCAATAACTTTCTCTAAGACATAGAGCAATAGTTGTCAAAAACAGTCAGACCTAGGAAGACCCTCTTTTAAGACTGTTGGCATCAATCCCTCCAAGAGAGAAATGTTAAGTACCTCCCAAATCTAGGAGAATTAAAGATTAAAGAGCCAAGAATGGGCATGATTGAGTTCACATGCTATTTGAGACAGCTTGGAGAGAATAATAATAATAATAATAATAATAATAATAATAATAATAATAATAATAATAATAATAATAATAATAATAATAGTAGTAGTAGTAGTAGTAGTAGTAGTAGTAATACTACTACTACTACTACTACTACTACTACTACTACTAATAATAATAATAATAATAATAAAGTTGGAATGGACCTTGGAGGTCATCTAGTCCAACCCTCTGCTCAGGCAGGAAACCCTATACCGTTTCAGACAAATGGCTGTCCAGTCTCTTTTTAAAAACTTCCAGTGTTGGAGCATTCACTGCTTCTGGAGGCAGGTTGTTCCACTGATTAATTGTTCTAACTGTCAGGAAATTTCTTCTGAGTTCTAGGGTGCTTCTCTCTTTGATGAGTTTCCATCCGTTGCTTCTTGTCCTGCCTTCAGGCACCTTGGAAAATAGCTTGACTCCCTCTTCTTTGTGGCAGCCCCTGAGATATTGGAACACTGCTACCATGTCCCCCGTCATTCTTCTCTTCGTTAAACTAGACATACCCAATTCCAGCAGCCGTTCCTTATATGCTTTAGCTTCCAGTCCCCTAATCATCTTTGTTGCTCTTCTCTGTACTCTTTCTAGAGTCTCAACATCTTTTTTACATCGTGGTGACCAAAATTGGATGCAGTATTCCAAGTGTGGCCTTACCAAGGCATTGTAAAGTGGTATTAATACTTCACGTGATCTTGATTCTATCCCTCTGTTAATGCAGCCCAGCACTGTGTTGGCCTTTTTGGTAGCTGCAGCACACTGTTGGCTCATATTTAAGTGATTGTCCACTAGGACTCGGAGGTCCCTCTCACAGTTACTACTATTGAGCAAGGTACCCTCTATACTATACGTGTACATTTGGTTTTTCTTGCCTAAATGCAGAACTTTACTTTTTTCACCATTGAATTTCATTTTGTTAGATAGCACCCAGTGTTCAAGTCTGTCCAGATCTCCTGTATCTTAAGCCTGTCTTCTGGAGTGTTGGCTATTCCTGCCAGCTTGGTGTTGTCTGCAAATTTGATGAGTTCCCCATCCATCCCCTCGTCCAAGCATTGATGAAGATGTTGAAGAGCACTGGGCCCAGAACAGAGCCCTGGGGCACCCCACTACACACTTCCCTCCATGTAGATGCGGTTCCATTGAGGACCACATGCTGACTACGGCCGGTCAACTAGCTACGGATCCATCTGGTGGTGATGCTGTCTAACCCACATTTTTCTATCTTATCAAGTAGTAGGTTGTGATCTACTTTATCAAATGCCTTACTGAAGTCGAAGTAAATTATATCCACAGTATTCCTCTGATCCACTAATTTTGTCACTTGGTCAAAGAATGCAATAAGATTTGTCAGGCATGATCTATTTTTGACAAACCCATGTTGCCTTTTAGTAATGACTTTGTTTGCCTCTAAGTGTTCGCTGATTTGTTGTTTGATTTTTCCAGAATCTTCCCAGGTATTGAGGTCAGGCTGATAGGTCTGTAATTTCCTGGGTCCATTTTTTTCCCTTTTTTGAAGATGGGAACTACATCAGCTCTTTTTCAGTCCTCCGGTAGTTCCCTGGTGCTCCAGGATCTTTGAAAAATATAGTTCAATGGTTCTGAGATCACATCTGTCAGTTCCTTGAGATTACCTTGGGGTGTAATCCATCTGGTCCTGGTGATTTGAACTCGTCTAGGCTGGACAGGTACTCACTTACCGTTTTCTTGCCTATCTTAACCTGTGTTTCTATTCTGTTTTTTATGGCACTATTTTTGGTAGCTTGGTCTGTTTTTCCCTTTGTGTAAAGACAGACGCAAAAAACGAGTTAAATAGTTCTGCTTTCTCCCTGTTGCTTGTCACTTTCTTGCCACTTTCACCCACTAATGGACCAATCATTTCCTTCACTTTTTTCTTGTTTTTTACATGTTGAAAGAAGCTTTTTTTGTTATTTTTTACTTTGGTCGCAAGCCTTAGTTCATTTTGAGCCTTAGCTTTCCTCATTTCATCTTTGCAGGCTCTGGCTATTTGCTGATATTCTGTCTTAGTTATGTGCCCCTCTTTCCACTTTCTATACTTGTCCTTTTTATCTTTCAATTTATCAGAGAGTTCTTTATGCAGCCATGCTGGTTTCTTTTGAGAGCTGTTATTTTTCCTCTTTGTTGGTATTGTGCTAGAGTGAGCTTTTATTATCTCACTTTTCAAAATTTTCCAACCTTCTTGAGCTGTTTTCCCCTTGAGGATTCTCATCCATGGAATCCTTCCCAAGCCTTCTCTAAGTTTATTGAAATTAGATCTCTTAAAAGTCCACTTTATCAATTTCTTCAGAATCTGCAGGCCAAAAAAGAATCCCAGATAACATAGCAAGACATTGCCTCATTCACCACAACAGACTTTGCCCAGGAAGATACAATTTTATACTATAGTACTTACAATAGTAAATGCAAATACAAGCTGTCAAATACTGACCTGCAGTAAAAACATGCACAAATATGCAACTAAATTGTATGGTTCCATACAATTAACCACTTACAATTATTTACTCAGCATTCTTTCAACACTGTTATGGCCAATACTATCTTGACAGTTTAGGAATATAAGTGGAGAAGGAGGAAATGAATCTATATGTTTTTAGTTAAAACTAATAATTTTGACCATTCTCAATTGACATAAGAGGGAAGAGGCTTTCAGAGGCCCAATTTAACTACAACCATATATACGCTTGAAGCAAGGCTTAACCACAATTTTATTTGACATATATATCCAAGCAAGTCCAGGATAAGATAAGAAAGAATTTATTTAAAGTTACAATCACTATCAGCACCCCACTTTTACTATATAGCAAGGCAAAGGAGATACCAAAAAGAAAGGAATGTGGTTATGCATGCACACATATGCTAAGACAATCTTCAATGCAGCTGCACAAGCCATTTAAATTATACAAATGCTAGGACAATTTGAAGAGATTGTCTACTCTGCATTGTGAAACACATGTTTTAAATAATATGTTTCACCAATATGAAATGACAGAATGCTTAGTGATATCTTCTTCATTTGCAGCATTCAAAACTAAGGTAGGATGTACTTCTAGCAAGCTCTAAGTATTGTAGGCAATTCTGGTAGATAATCTGTAGGTCCTTCTGTTGTTTGATATCAAATGAATTGAAAAACATATGAAATACACATTGAGTAAATTAAGCTTCATGAGAAGTAATAATTGGAGCATAAACAACCAATCATATAACAGCATTTTTAATATACAGTGTAAAGATGATTTATAGAAAATAATATAAATGGCCTATTGTATCCATATTGGTAGAGGTTAGAAATGCACTAAAGGAAATTAAGTAATCAAGTAATAGAATCCATTCTTGAAACTCTGAAAACCCAATATAGATTGAGCAGAAGCCAGGTATTTTCATTTCAAACTGAAAAGTTTGTTTAAATAATCTGGATAAAGAGATGCAATTTATCAGTATCCAAGCAGAATGCTCACTACAAGCTTTTTCTATATATTATATGATATATAGAGAAAATTTTACCAAGGAAAATTTAAAGATAATCAAATTCTTATCAGATTACAAGTTCCACTTTGATTTCTCTTTCCAATTTCTTTAAACAATGCCTAAGAAAGCATGTTACTCTTTACCTTTGAGGTTTTCGAATATCCCATAGCCCAACACCTTCTTTTGAGTTGGCAGTGGCCAGTAATCTGGGCTCCACTGGATTGAACATCACACTATGAAAGGCAGAAGGATAATTTGCCAAGCAAAAGGGCTCTGTTAAAAAAAAAATTAAAATACAGCTGAAAAGATGGAACATTTTCAATTAAAATATTTCTAGATAAACTTTGTTTATATTTGCCAATCATTTGTAGAATTAGTTTCAAGTCATCCCGGCAGATGTTTCATATTAGAATTTAAATTATCTTCCTGTAACTCCCACAAAAATGATAAAACAGTAATCTCTACAGAAATATGTTTTATCTCTTCATTAATGCCTACCAACAAATACAAATAGGCTCTTAATCTTAATCTTAGTCTTAATCCTGAAAGTGACCAATAGCAACAAATAATTTAGATTGGTCTCTTCTGCATTTTCAAGTTATTTTACCTAAATTCTGAAAAGTATGTGTTCACTTGCATATACAAAATAATACTATAATCTGCAAGATATTTTGCAAAGTTGTTAAAGGAGCTTCGCTGATGTTATTATTAGTTGGGTAATGAAACATCTGCAAGCAAGCAACCAAGCTCAGAGAGCACCAAGCACTCTACAAAAGCTTCACTTACTATCTAATCAAAATTGGATTATTGTATCAGACAATGGCACTGAAATGAGTTTAATAAAAGTTGAAATGGATTTTCAACTTTTTATATTATAACTTTAATAAGTTTATAAACTGCTATTCACAACAATAGTGGTTGCCCTATCAACATATGGTTGCTATTGGCAGATATCAAGATCTCATATTCTGTGGCAATATTTATATTTTTCATCTTATTTCTCCATTTCATTTCATTCATTCAATTCCCCTCACTATTAACAAAGTCCTTTCTTCCAAGTATCTCTAATGGATGTCAGCTCTATAATGCTTCTTGATGAATTAACTTTTAAAGTCTTTTACATTTGCTTTTATTGTGAATACAAGCTTTATATGCTTTCAGTTTACTGTGGTTTGCATTCTATTCCATTATGGTTTAACATTAATGTGAGTCAGATCATTATGGCTTGTTCCTCAGATCTTGCTTAAAAATTCTTGAGAATCAGAATTATATGGGAACTAGGCCAAATACTAATATCCAGATGACAAAGACAAGTCTATAATAACTTCAGGAATTAAACATTACATGTTAAGCTTGTTTTTAAATTTGCTAAGAGCTAAACACTTCATGCAATAGTTAACAAGGTAGAAATCCCAATGTGGTTCCTAAATCACCCTGACTAGGTTCACACAAAAAGCTAATTTGATAAGAAATAAATCACATTTTGTCTTAGTGCCACACTGAACTTTGCCTTATGTTCTCTGTTGCCTCCTTTTTATTTCCATAAATAAAGGATAAAAAAAACCCCTCATCTTCAGGGATGAAGTGGGTGGAAAGACAATTCCTGCTATTAAAATACTCTTCTGGAAAAGCTTTTTGGCATCCATTCTTACTGCTTGGTAACATTTTATTTCCCAGATGTTTACATTTTCAACTGAAATACATTTTATGCCACAAAGAGATGTACTCTTTTTTCTTCCTCTTCCTCTTCCTCTTCCTGTCATGATTTGTTTTTATTACTCCTGATGACTATAAGGAGAACTCCATGTAGTTTTCTAGGCAGCATTTTTCATTGTCTTCCTAATGTTGAGACTGTGTAAGTGGCCAGAGGTCACCCAACTGGTTTTCCTGTCTAGGCAGGACTAGAACTCAGGTTCCCAGGTTTCTAGTCCAGAGCCAACCATTAGATCAAACTGGCTTTACTATGTAAATACTTGAAATTGAAGAACAGCATAAAAAATGAAGTACTACAAAACATGAGGTAGTTCATCTTATTTCATTACTATTTAAAGCTACAGATTCCAAGTTTCTGAAGCCACAGGAGAAAAATACTGCCCGCTCCAAGTGAACAAACATTTTAAAGAAAATTCAAATACGTGCAATTCTTTCCTTATCAAACTAAACTTAGTTTTCTGTTTGAACAGAAAAAGCAGATGCAATCCTCACCTCCCTGAGAAGACTCTCTGATATCCCAAATGAGAACTCGACCATCATCAGATGAGCTTGCAAAAACATTATCATCAACTGGACTGACGGACAGTCCATAGACTGCATCTTCATGGGCAAACACATCCACAGTTTCACCACTGAAACATACACCAGCATCATCAGCTTCTTATCTTTTACAGTGTGCTAGAAAATTTATTTCAAAACATTTAAAGTCCATTATCCCATACATATCCTTATAACAGTATATAGAAAACGTATCTACAAATATGTTAATGCAATGCGATTCTATATAAACTAGGACACTCCTATTTGGACTGCAAAATTCTAAATCACTAATAGAATTTTCTGTATCTGTTGTCATCAAATGGCTTTCCAGGTTTTTGCAAGCCTTATTCAATTCAGTAGGAGTAAGTATGCAATGAAATAAGCATCTTGATCTTAATTCTTGAAAGTTAGTCTTACTGAAGATGGGGGGGGGGTTATTTCTGAATAGATTATTGCAATGAAAACTGTGGGATAATGGAATATTCCAATCATGTAAATATTTTAGATCATCAGATATGAATACAACGTCCTACAACTTGGGCTCACCGATATCTCAGTGTTTCTCCTTCTTTCCATCATTAGCCTGATAAAGAGTATTTAGACATTGGAAAAAATGCATTTACCTTGGGATATCATGAAGCAAAACCTGCTCATCATTACCTATAAACAGAAATAAAAATTTGTCATTTAGTAACATGAATGTAAATGAGAAGGATTGTGGAAAAGGAAAAGGAAAAATGGTCTGGGAACACAAGAAAGATATTAGCTTTTTAATTTTATTGTGGACCAAATATTCATGACAATGACTCCTACGTATTGGCTTGCTTTTGAAGTATAAAGTAATAACAATTTGTTGTGGAGCAGCAGTAAAAGAGCTTGTCTATGGAGATTCTCAATCATCCTGGTCATGGTTGTCTGAGAGGTGATTTTCAAAAGTCAACTTCTTAGAGAGAAAGTCCAGGTGCTTTTGAAAAGCACCTTTGGAACCGTAAAATAAGTTGTTTACTACAAATCCATTCTATCTTTAAAGGCACCAGGATAGTTAAGTGTGGAGAAGTTGTACAGATTATAGAGCAGGTCAGGGGACAAAAAAAAGGCATTCTACAACTTTATTAAAATAGATGGCTATCCTGTGAGGCACTCTGCCATCATATGTCTCATGCTGTATCCAATACATGCTACATTGCAGCTGCAACAGCAGTGAATGGAAAAAAAATGTTGTCTAATCCAAGACAATGTGCTCAGAAGGTGGTTAGTTGGTCTGTCTATCTGTTTCCAGTAATAGGAAATTACTTTTCAGTTGTGCAGCTTCAATAATATTGCAAAAAAAAAAAAAAAAAAGGTTTGGAGATATACATTGGAACCACTTAAAAATACTGTTCAGATTGAAGCAGGATGTAAATTGCAATCAATCAATCAATGAAGGTATCCTTGCTTTGTTTTGAAAAACTGTATTCTTTACCTCCAGAAAAGACTCTGGTGTTACCACTATTAAAAGCCAGGCAGAAGATATTAGAGTGATGTTCTCCTTTCAGTTGAACAGGCTTGACCCTGGAGTGGATTGCTTGTTCCATATGCCAGAGCAGAACTCGACGGTCATCTCCACCTACACGATACAGAGCATAATTATCAAGAAAAGCGCTACAACTAGCATCTATACATCTTGTGATATCAAATCCTGAATATTTTAAGTTTGCATTGCTGGATCATATGAAGAGCCACTACAAGTTAGGATGAATTTCTCCATTATTGCTCATTCTTTTTTCTAAATAGAGGCTATTATATAATGTTGAACTGAGATGGGAAAAAAGGGGAAAACTCTAACAGCTATATAACTATAACCAGATAAGCTGTTGTCTTAGGCATTTACATTCATTCTTCTATATGGTTTGGATAATTCTTTAACTGAGAACTCTAGACTGTAAATACTGAACAGAAGTCTTGTTTCATACAGACTTCTTCAGAAAGGCACTTTTTGAAATATAGAAGGTTAAATACAAATACCCAATACAACAGTGAAATAATATGTATTATACTTGAATCCAGGATTTTGGCCTGGGGTGTCAAAACTTAGAGGGCACCAATGCTGCCCTTCCTTCCGAAAACAAAATCTATTTTACAAATCCAGGAGGTGGCACCATCATTCAAGGTAGCCTAGAGGCACCGTATGCCCCTGAGCAAGGCTGTTTGTGTCACATCATGCAGTCTCAGACAAAAGCCTTTTTGAAAAATAGATTCAAATCTCAGGTAGGAAAGAGTCAACATGTATTTAATGTATTTATTGCATGTAAAGCTATATTTCCTTCAAGATACTCAAGGTGACACGTATAGGTTTCTTTTTTTACATTTGTCTTCCGAATAATGCCATGAAGTACTTAGGCTGAAAGCATGACTTGCCTAAGGATATCCAGTTAGACGCAGGGGTGTCAAACTGCCGGCCCGCAGGCCGGCTGCATCATATGGAGGGCGCGCCCACCCCAGCTCCGGCAATGCAAAAAAAGTTGTGACATGTCACATGACACGGCGAGTTTAACACCTGTGAGTTAGAGTTTCAATGTAGAATTGGGATTTGACTTATGGTATTTGCAGTTCTAGTCCAATACTGTGGTGTTGGCTAGCATATTTCTAATAAATCTACTATTCATGCCATGTTTAAGTAAGAGATTTAACACAATTTATCCCTGTAATGAATTTTCATGGCTATCTGCCATATCTTTTCCAACATTCTTTCAAAATCACAGGGAGAGCATTAAAAATAATTCAAATTTACTTGAAATCAAAATCTTAATCTGAGAGAACAAAGTTAAATATTAAGAGCCATACATCTTTGGCTTTTTACAAATATCTTGGCAAAATTATCAGTCCAGTAATCATCCTAAGTTTATAGGTATGATGGTAGCTCCTATATCCAACATTATCAAATGAAAAAAAAATCTTCAAAGCCAATTAAGCAGTTAGAGAAAAGCATCATAAATCGTTTGACCTTCTGTTAGTTACAATATAGTTTTTCTAACACATTAACATACATCATTTGCTCAATGATGAAGCCTTCGGTGTGGTAGCAAAGTTTACAAAATAGGAGAAATGTGTGTATTTATATATGTAACATAATGAATAGCTGAAATAAGGAAACAGATGAATTAGAAGTTGTCCTAGAGCTGAAATTTAAATTAAATGAATGTTTTATTGTGCTGTTTGAGATTTGCCTAACAAGGATTTAACCATTTATTACTGCAACAGCATGTTTGGACATTCCTCTTAACTGAAAAAAAACCTCACTAAATGTAGACTGAGGTGTCTATCTGGGAGATTACTGAACATGAAGTCCTGAGACCATCCTTTTCATAAAGGATCACAGACATTGGTCCAACAGCTACATCGTCTTACCTAACTCTGATGGTAGCAGAATGGATGTCATTAGCATAGCAGTGACATCTGCCTAGAGCTGGCCATGTGTCATTGCAACAAAGGGCATTTCAATGTCAAAACCAAGTCTGGTAACTGCCTAGAATGGAACGTGATAATCTCTATCCTTCAAAAATGCATGAAAGCTAATAGAACTAAAAATTAAAGAAAATCTTCACATTCAGAAGTACTTTTATTTATATCTCAATTTCTAATAATCAGAATTATATTTTATTATGCCTAGCTGCTGAAAACGGAAAGAATATTTGGCTAACTGCTCTTCAGTATAACCTGAAATGATAAAGCCTTA